AGGTATATGAATTATATTATACTAGCAGAGTACCCGTCCTTCGAACGGGATTGGCATATAAGTATAAAATGCTTATTGCAGTTATACTCAACTCAAGCTTTGTGTTTGCAATGGGGGAGGACACATTTTGATAAAATTTGCTTCTTTAAATTTACAGTATACTATAGTATTATACATCTAACATAGCCATAATATTCTACCACTTCACCTAAACAATAGAGAAAAATAAATTATCAAAAGTTCACAAAATACATAAACATACACATTAAACATTAAAAACTTAAACATAACTGTAAACAATCCTACTTTGACAGTTCTCATTGCATATCACAGTTTTTTGTTGGTGATTAGTTAAAATTAGCTGTTTTCATAAATGCAAAAAAATTGTAGTGCTGCACCCTGTTGGTAAATCTTTTTTACTTAAAACAGCTGACTAAATTCTTTATTTCCCTTTAAATCTGAATACTCGTAAGGTTAACATGGGAACTACAGAGCCACTGGGGCGGAGCCTGAAAGGATTTTTGAGATAAGAATATGCCTATATGTTAATCGGGAATGAGAGCTACCATCATGCCAAATTTCAGCACAATCCGTCCAGTAGTTTATGCGTGATTGAACTTCAAACAAACAAACAAACAAACAAACAAACACACAAACCTTCTCATTTATAATATTAGTAAGATAGGCCTAGGTTAATAATATGAATTAACCTAACCAAACCTAACCTAACCTAACATAACGGTACTGTCACAACTGGCCTTCCCCGCGTCTCCCGCAAGCCACTGTTATCGCGTAGACTTTGAACCTTCTTATCGCTCGGCAACCTGTACGATGGCCTTGCGGGGCTTGAATTATAAGTTATGTTTCTTGTTTTTTGAGAACATCCTTAAGTTATGACCGTACCTAGTAAAATATGAAAAAGTTTGGGGTTGACCAAGTAATTGCTCAGAATTACCTTAAACTTACACGATATCACATGGTAAATACTTATAAAACATATTCAATAATTGCCAAAAATAATATTCAAATTTTTCTTATTGCTTACTAGGCTACACTTTACCCCAGAGGTAAGCCTGGCACTTTTCAGAAAGTAGGCCTACCAAAACTAAATTTCTGGTACCCAAATGGTTAACGTAATAGTAAAGACAACAGACACAGACACAACGGCGCGCCCACTACTTATTGCTGACTTTACCCCCTCTTTCTTATCCGCCAGGTACATGATATTGATACTGTCGTGTCCGTTAAAGTGTCCTCTATCTGGTGACATTATCGGTTTCATGTTACGCGGTCGTATTTTGCCGCAAAACGGCCTGCAATAAATTTTTTCGGGCAAGCCCACTACTTATTGCTGACTTTACCCCCTCTTTCTTATCCGCCAGGTACATGATATTGATACTGTCGTGTCCGTTAAAGTGTCCTCTATCTGGTGACATCATCGGTATTATGTTACGCGGCCGTATTTTGCCGCAATTCGGCCAGCAATAGATTTTTTCGGGCGCGCGCACTACTTCTGGCTGACTTTACCCCCCCTTTCTTATCCCCCAGGTACATGATATTGATACTGTCGTGTCCGTTAAATTGTCCTCTATCTGGTGACATTATCGGTTTCATGTTACGCGGTCGTATTTTGCCGCAAAACGGCCGGCAATAGATTTTTTCGGGCAAGCCCACTACTTATTGCTGACTTTACCCCCTCTTTCTTATCCACCAGGTACATGATATTGATACTGTCGTGTCCGTTAAAGTGTCCTCTATCTGGTGACATTATCGGTTTCATGTTACGCGGTCGTATTTTGCCGCAAAACGGCCGGCAATAGATTTTTTCGGGCAAGCCCACTACTTATTGCTGACTTTACCCCCTCTTTCTTATCCGCCAGGTACATGATATTGATACTGTCGTGTCCGTTAAAGTGTCCTCTATCTGGTGACATTATCGGTTTCATGTTACGCGGTCGTATTTTGCCGCAAAACGGCCGGCAATAGATTTTTTCGGGCAAGCCCACTACTTATTGCTGACTTTACCCCCTATTTCTTATCCGTTAGGTACATGATATTGATACTGTCGTGTCCGTTAAAGTGTCCTCTATCTGGTGACATCATCGGTATTATGTTACGCGGCCGTATTTTGCCGCAAATCGGCCAGCAGTAGATTTTTCGGGCGCGCCCTCTACTTATTGCTGACTTTACCCCCCCTTCCTTATCCCCCAGGTACATGATATTGATATTGTCGTGTCCGTTAAAGTGTCCTCTATCTGGTGACATCATCGGTATTATGTTACGCGGCCGTATTTTGCCGCAATTCGGTCAGCAATAGATTTTTTCGGGCGCGTGCACTACTTCTAGCTGACTTTACCCCCCCTTTCTTATCCCCCAGGTACATGATATTGATACTGTCGTGTCCGTTAAAGTCTCCTCTATCTGATGACATTATCAGTTTCATGTTACGCGGTCGTATTTTGCCAAATAACGGCCGGCAATAGATTTTTTTGGGCGCGCGCACTACTTATGGCTGACTTTTACCCCCCCTTTCTTATCCCCCAGGTACATGTTATTGATACTGTCGTGTCCGTTAAAGTGTCCTCTATCTGGTGACATCATCGGTTTCATGTTACGCGGTCGTATTTTGCCGCAAAACGGCCGGCAATAAATTTTTTCGGGCAAGCCCACTACTTATTGCTGACTTTACCCCCTCTTTCTTATCCGCCAGGTACATGATATTGATACTGTCGTGTCCGTTAAAGTGTCCTCTATCTGGTGACATCATCGGTATTATGTTACGCGGCCGTATTTTGCCGCAATTCGGCCAGCAATAAATTTTTTCGGGCGCGCGCACTACTTCTGGCTGACTTTACCCCCCCTTTCTTATCCCCCAGGTACATGATATTGATACTGTCGTGTCCGTTAAATTGTCCTCTATCTGGTGACATTATCGGTTTCATGTTACGCGGTCGTATTTTGCCGCAAAACGGCCGGCAATAGATTTTTTCGGGCAAGCCCACTACTTATTGCTGACTTTACCCCCTCTTTCTTATCCGCCAGGTACATGATATTGATACTGTCGTGTCCGTTAAAGTGTCCTCTATCTGGTGACATTATCGGTTTCATGTTACGCGGTCGTATTTTGCCGCAAAACGGCCGGCAATAGATTTTTTCGGGCAAGCCCACTACTTATTGCTGACTTTACCCCCTCTTTCTTATCCGCCAGGTACATGATATTGATACTGTCGTGTCCGTTAAAGTGTCCTCTATCTGGTGACATCATCGGTATTATGTTACGCGGCCGTATTTTGCCGCAATTCGGCCAGCAATAGATTTTTTCGGGCGCGCGCACTACTTCTGGCTGACTTAACCCCCCCTTTCTTATCCCCCAGGTACATGATATTGATACTGTCGTGTCCGTTAAATTGTCCTCTATCTGGTGACATCATCGGTTTCATTTTACGCGGTCGTATTTTGCCGCAAAACGGCCGGCAATAGATTTTTTCGGGCAAGCCCACTACTTATTGCTGACTTTACCCCCCCTTTCTTATCCCCCAGGTACATGATATTGATACTGTCGTGTCCGTTAAAGTCTCCTCTATCTGATGACATTATCAGTTTCATGTTACGCGGTCGTATTTTGCCAAATAACGGCCGGCAATAGATTTTTTCGGGCGCGCGCACTACTTATGGCTGACTTTTACCCCCCCTTTCTTATGCCCCAGGTACATGTTATTGATACTGTCGTGTCCGTTAAAGTGTCCTCTATCTGGTGACATTATCGGTTTCATGTTACGCGGTCGTATTTTGCCGCAAAACGGCCGGCAATAAATTTTTTCGGGCAAGCCCACTACTTATTGCTGACTTTACCCCCTCTTTCTTATCCGCCAGGTACATGATATTGATACTGTCGTGTCCGTTAAAGTGTCCTCTATCTGGTGACATCATCGGTATTATGTTACGCGGCCGTATTTTGCCGCAATTCGGCCAGCAATAGATTTTTTCGGGCGCGCGCACTACTTCTGGCTGACTTTACCCCCCCCTTTCTTATCCCCCAGGTACATGATATTGATACTGTCGTGTCCGTTAAATTATCCTCTATCTGGTGACATTATCGGTTTCATGTTACGCGGTCGTATTTTGCCGCAAAACGGCCGGCAATAGATTTTTTCGGGCAAGCCCACTACTTATTGCTGACTTTACCCCCTCTTTCTTATCCGCCAGGTACATGATATTGATACTGTCGTGTCCGTTAAAGTGTCCTCTATCTGGTGACATTATCGGTTTCATGTTACGCGGTCGTATTTTGCCGCAAAACGGCCGGCAATAGATTTTTTCGGGCAAGCCCACTACTTATTGCTGACTTTACCCCCTCTTTCTTATCCGCCAGGTACATGATATTGATACTGTCGTGTCCGTTAGTGTCCTATATCTGGTGACATTATCGGTTTCATGTTACGCGGTCGTATTTTGCCGCAAAACGGCCGGCAATAGATTTTTTCGGGCAAGCCCACTACTTATTGCTGACTTTACCCCCTATTTCTTATCCGTTAGGTACATGATATTGATACTGTCGTGTCCGTTAAAGTGTCCTCTATCTGGTGACATCATCGGTATTATGTTACGCGGCCGTATTTTGCCGCAAATCGGCCAGCAGTAGATTTTTCGGGCGCGCCCTCTACTTATTGCTGACTTTACCCCCCCTTCCTTATCCCCCAGGTACATGATATTGATACTGTCGTGTCCGTTAAACCATTACATCGCGGACGTATTTTGCCGCAAAACGGCCAGCAATAGATTTTTTATGGCGCTACACTACTTATTGCCGAGTTATTGCCAGGTTCACACAAGTAAAAAAATGCCATTGGTGTAAAAAAACACTTGTGGGAAGGAGTGTTAGCCTAGGCCTAGTTCTTGACTAGTTCTTGACACATAGGCGTAGCCTATTTGAAAAATACGCCCAGTTAACATCTCATTGGTAAGTATTTGGTATCTAGCCTAGGTTGTAAGTTACTCACCAATAACTTATCAATATACACTAATAAATAAAACAAGACACTACAGGACGTAAATCGAGACCGTAGATGTAGGCCATATGCTTTCAGCTTTAAATACAGCTTTATAGAAAAAGAAAAGAATAGAATAGAACACCCACTAGCTCCACTCAAACCAGAAGTTCTGAGTTCCGAGTTCCGAGTTCTGCTGGTCCCGAATCAGAACCAGCAGCGGCAGCAGCAGGGGCAGTGGGCAGTTTCACGAGACCTTGCCGTCAGACCGTCACCGCCCACCTTCAACTGTCTAGAAACGGGACAGCGGAATTGAAATCCGAACCGAACTGAACATCTGATCGCGGGTTTCTGTCATCACCGAGCCTATTTTAAAATTACGCGGGAACAAAGTACAGTAGCCGTTTAATGTTAAATATAAGTCTAAATATGTTAATTGAAAATTATTTCTAGAATAATTATAAAAAATTACAAAAAACTATATAAGTCCAAATAAAGATGAATTACATAAAAATCCTAACTATTAATTGTTGTTCACACTGTTTAAATAACAAAAGTATAGAAAGAAAAAGTGTAATTCCATATCGTTCTAAATTATAGCTAACAGGTAGGCTTATGTTCAGCTGTGAACATTTTAAAACTAGTAACATACCTCGTGTTAAAATTCCTGGTCTTCAAAATAAATTTTTCTTAAAATGTAACAATTTAACACATATATTGATACACACTCACACACACAAATAATATTTACATTTATTTACAACATATTTTCTTCATCTTGGAAACTGTAACAACAAAATGAACACAAAAATTTGGCTATTTTAAATGAGAAATATCTTATTGTGAATTTTCTATAGGCCTACTTGTTTATTTTGTTTGTTTGTCAGTGTCACAAGTTACTCAGCATGGGTCTAGTTTATGTTTGTAGGTACCAGTATCTCTGTGAAAATATCTGGGATGTCAGTGTGTGTGTTCAAGTTCAAAAACTTTTATTTCAGTAAAAGATTTCACTAGCATACCACTGGGCCGAGTGAATACAAGTACAGCAAGTATTTACTTGTGAGTAAATACTTGCGAGTATTCGTCGTTCAAGTAATCTCTTGTGAATAAAAGCGACTCTTTACTTGCAAGTAAATACTTCCTAAATGAGATGGTATACTCACTGATCTATCGGAGATGAGGGTATACTTGCAAGTATGTACTCCATTTTAAAGTAAACATTATACAGTACAAGTATATATATATATATTAAATAAATAAATATAGATAAATATATATATTGTTGAAGGTCCAAGGCCTTCATTTTTTAAACATGTAAAATGTGAAGGTTTTGCATTATTGAGACTTGTGGATGGATTTTCATTAACAAAATAGCTTGAACATAACGAAGGAATACCACAAAGGTTCCATCTTCAATTACCCAAGCATTATTTTGCGGAAATTACTAGAGTCACACATAATTTAAATAAGTGTATTACACTATACTGAATGTGTTACATGCATTTATCAACAACCTAAATTTAAACAAGCATGGGTTATTGATAACTAGTTGAAAAACAAGTATTTACTCTTTAGGCAAGTATTTGCTGGTGGTTATTCACACCAAATTTATAGGTTTATGAGGGTATATACTTCCTTGGAAAGGCTTTTTTAGAAGTACAATTAAATACTCATGCTTATTCACTTCTGTTCAAGTAAATACTCAAATTATGAAAATTCAAGGCAAGTAAAAAAATGTGAAGAACAAGAACTTTAACTTAGAAAATAAGAATGTGTCAGCTGTTACAATTTCATTTAATTTATAATTGATGGTTGATTATTACCTAATGATTACAAATTATTAAATATATTTTTTTTTGCAAAGTTTTATTTACAATCTGTTTTAAATTAAACGATAAGTAAATATGATGACATTTATATAAATTAAACTAGCTGACCCGGCGAACTTCGTATCGCCAAAGTTAAAGGTTTCCCCTAAGACAGACCGATGGAAAGAAAGTACCGTTAAGTTTAATTTTCAAGATGATCTCGTTCGCATCGCTCAATCACGTCCTGGTTGAAGTTCGTTCGCTACGCTCACTCACCTTTGGGTTGGAGCTCGTTCGCTACGCTCACTCACCTTTAGGTTGGAGCTCGTTCGCTGCGCTCACTTGCCTTCAGGTTAGCTCGTTCGCTACGCTAACTCGCCTCCAGGTTGAAGTTCGTTCGCTACGCTCACTCACCTTTGGGTTGGAGCTCGTTCGCTACGCTCACTCACCTTTAGGTTGGAGCTCGATCGCTGCGCTCACTTGCCTTCAGGTTAGCTCGTTCGCTACGCTAACTCGCCTCCAGGTTGAAGTTCGTTCGCTACGCTCACTCACCTTTTGGTTGCAAATTAGCTGTTGTCATAAATGTAAAAGAAATAATAGTGCTGCACCCTGTTGGTAATCCTTGTAACTTTAATGCTATTGAACATCATAGAACAGAACCAACTTGTTTAATTGAAACAGCTGTTAAGATTCATTAATTCCATTTCTCATAAGGTTAACATGGGAAACTCCAGAGCCACTGGGGCGGAGCCCTTTTAAGAATTTCGAAACGGGAAATAGTTTACTTTCTATTCGCATACCTACAGAATTTACACACCAAATTTCATAACGATCGGTGAAGTCGTTCCGGAGGAGTTTGCAGACAAACACTGTGACACGAGAATTTTATATATTAGATTAAAATTGGGGGAAAAATTATTAAAATGTATTATCTATACTAATATATAAAAATGAGATGGTGTGTGTTTGTGTGTCTGTCTACTACTCAATAACGCAAAAACTACTTAACCGACTGGGCTCAAATTGCACACACATGAAGCTACAGTTCCGAGGATACATATAGAACTATTCCCGCTTCGATATTGTCCTAGGGCTCTGCCCAGTGGGCTTTCAAAAATTTGAGGTGAGAGATTTAAAAGTAAATATTGATTGATGGTATATCCATGGTAACAAAGAACAAACCTACAAAGTTTAAAAATATAAACAAGCAGAACTAACTGTCAAATGAGTTTTGATTTCACAATTCCACTCCACACAGCTGGTTCAAACATATTAAATACTGCACGAATATTAAAACAGAGAGGGTAAGGATTATAAATTTAAAATAATGATGTCACTAGCCCGAATGTAAACATTATTTAACATTACTTAAATGGAGCTGTCAAACAATATGTTAATATAATTTCATCAGTTACACCATTTGTTTATGTTTATGATCTATTATACTGAGTCTGTTCTAATATTTGTGAAATGCTGTAATAATATTTAACAGGCAATAATTCGTTGTAAAAGAAATCATTCATGGATATAGGAAATAATTAAGATTCTATAATCATTGCCAAGCCATTATCCTGAGTTTTATGAGGTTTATTTTTATTTTTGTGTAAACAGCAATATAATCCCCCTTCCGCAGCAAATTTATAGACTTAGTGAATTTCCATTTACCTGATTATAATTTCGATAAAATATGTTTAAAAAATTACCCTATTCTTCATATTTATTTCAATTTTCCTATCTATTTGTTTCTATTTTTCGGTTTGTAACTGTTGTGATAGTTTTTTTGTTTACAGTGCAAACCATTTAACACGTTCTTTTATTGTACCTTAAAATCTATCATTGGTTTTGTATCGTAGGTAGCCTACTCACAGTATGAGTACCTACTTATTTTTTACTTATACTTATACTTTTCCCCCTCAATGAATTCGTGTATTTCACGAAGGTGTCGAGACAAAACCCACCGATTAACAAAACTCTTATCACAAAACTGAGCACTGGCATACATGCATTGTTGACAAGACAAGCCAAAACGATTAAGTACACCACGCGACCACGCGACAGACAGCATTGAATTTGACGTTTAAGTTCGGCACTGCTCGGTAAGATTCGGAAGCGTTCGGCACAGCGCAGTAGTGGGGGAAGCGTTGTTCCGATTTCAAATTCCGCTGTCCCGTTTCTAGCTAGACAGACGAAAAAAAGGGCGGTGACGGTCTGACGGCAAGGTCTCCTGCAGTTTCTTTCATCACAGACATGTCACAGCACAGACGACCGAAAAAATAATCCCGCCTATTGGGTCCTGATATCCCGTTTAATCCCACTCCTGAGTAATGAAAAATCCCGTTTTATCCTGCTTGATATTTTTGTTCAATGCCGATTGTTATTTTGACATAAACTTATCAAGTCTACGTTTTTTTTTTAAACATTGCTATTATATTTTTCTACAGTAGTTTTTAAATAGTTTTTCTATTAAATTGAGTATAAAATTAATAATAAAAATACTTATAAAACAGACGTCAGAGCAAAAAATTCCGTTTCATCCCACATCTCGTTTTAATCCCGCTCATAGTCTTCTTAAACTCCCGTTTTCGGGATATTAATCATAATAATCCCGCGTATGGAAACACTGACCATGGGCCAGCGCCAGCCTGAGCGAAAGCGAAAGCCAACCAGCTAGCTACTGTACTGTACTGTACTTGTACTAGGTTCTGGTTCTGGTTCTATACCAAAGCAAGCAATCTTTACCACCACCACAGTCCACCAAGCAAGAAAGCCATCAAAGCAAGGTGGAGGAATGTAGTAATAAATTGTGTAGTGCCACTGACTGGACTGACTGACCGACTATGGCTTGGCTATGGCCGTGACCAGTGCCAGTGCAGTGACCGACCGACCACAACCACAACCACAACACGTGATTGGCTTACTTGAGAAAAACTGAATTTTTAATATTAGTTTTTTTTATAAAAATAAGTGGACCCAGCTGTTCCTGATCATTGGGCTTTAAATAAATTATCCTGACTAATGAAACCGCTGATCTTAGTGATTAGTAACAAAGCTACACAGGTCGACAGGTCATCACATATCATTCTACCTACACTCATCCCTCATTTGGGTTAAAATACAGTACGCACCTAGGTGGCGTCCCCATCTCAATGATTGATAATAATTGATGAATTAGTTTGAATGAAAACCATACACGTTAACAAAGTTTACATATAATCCATACGCTGGAGGTTTCTTTGAATAATTGTGCATTTTATTTTTTATTATGTGTTTAAAATGCCACTACGTAGCAAATAGTTCGGTCTTGTCAAGACCAACAAGGACGACTAGGAAGCACAACAATTTCAGCCAAAACTCGATCCGACGGCGTGATCTTAGTCTTCGATCGCCTTCCTTATATAGATTATATAAGGTTTGTATATAGATTATACAAATTATTAACTTGTGCGTAAGACATGGGTTATGGCACGGCCACCTCTGAATGGTTAAAAGCTGGCCCCGTATTCCGAGGGTCGAAAAAGCCAGGGCAATAAAACAACTGCACTGGTCCCGAGGGATTGAGATAGTTTTGGAGCGGCAAATCCAGCAGGGCAATGAGGCATGAAGCGTGATGTAAACAAACAATAAATACTTGCAGTCCTGTCCTCGTCAAAGAATGGTGCGAATTTTGGAGTCCATGGCCAGGTCATCATCTCATTGCAAATATCTAAACAATAATGCATCACTTCACTGTACAGGTCAAAACAGCAAATACTTGCACCGCTCTCAGCATCAATGAATGTGGCGAATTTGGGGTTTCGAAGCGAAGTCTCTCCTACCTTCAAAATGCACCACTATAACGGAAAGTCTAAATACCTTTATGCTACCCCTTCTCCAAATAAATCCCCGGTATGTGTTATTAGTGAATTTAGTAAGCAGACCGATATTTTTGTCTAAATAGAACACGACGATGCGACAGTAATATAGAAGCTATTTGCGAGGACCTGTCTTCATGGTGGAATCATTGACTACTAGCAGAATACCCGTCCTTCGTACGGAGGAGGTGTCCGTTTTCCCTGACATTGAAAGGGTTGAGGCCACGAAGTATTTAGGTGTGGTACTTGACAGCTCACTAGCTGTCATGGTCAGACCATCTTGACGAGCACTGCAGCAGGCTTAACACTGCCATCTTCGCCCTCAGAAGAGTGAAGAGTTTTAGCACCATGGACGCTGTCGGGATTGCATACAGTTCTCTTTTTGAGAGCCATTTACGTTATGGCATTGTTCTTTGGGGCGCTGCAAGTCAGGTAAATTTGAAGCGGGTGCTCATAGTTCAGCATAAAGCAATTCATACTCTGGTGGGACTTGATGCAAGAGACAACTGTAGAAGAGCTTCCATCGACCTTAACATCTTAACTGTGGTCAACATTTACCTTCTGGAAGTGATTAACCTTGCAAACTCCGCAAATTTAAAAAGAAACCAAAGCCTTCACGCATACAGTACGAGGAACGCCCAGGACTTCAACCTGACAGTACACCGCACAACGAGGTTTCAGCGAAAGCCCACATACGCCGGAGCCAAGCTGTACTATATCCTACCAATGGAAGTGAAGAGGTCTCACCTTTTGGTTCTTTCAAGAAGACGTTGCACAAGTGGCTGATTGAACGACAATTTTTTTCTGTTGCAGAATTTTTGGACTGGCCCAATTTCCAAGTGTAAAAACATGGACTCATTCGATTTTGTACACATTTTTGTATTTGTAAATACTTACTTACCTATTGTTTATGACGCCATTTTCAATCTTGACGATTGCTTAGTAAAGTCTCTCTCTCTCTCTCTCCCTCTCTCTCTCTCTCTCTCTCTCTCTCTCTACCCACAGTCTAATTACTCTAATCTGATTTGTCTTGAGGTGGTATATAAATGCAGAAAATGAGAATAGTTATTTGTGTAACTAGTGGTGAAAGTGGCACTTTGCTGCACACGAGAGCAATGTTTACGCACGAGCCGCAGGCGAGTGCGGAATGAGTGCAGAAAAGGCCTTTTTCACTCGTGTTACACATTATATTTTTCCTACAGTCACTATAAAGCATATAAATAATTAGTCTTTCAAACACTATACAACACGTCTTTAGGTTCAGCTGGCAACACAAATGGTGCCCTAGAGAAAGTAGTACCAGCGGTCCGTATCACTCCGCTATTTTTCTTGGGTAAGAAGTGTACTCCGCGTTTTGAGAATATAGTTCCGTATGTTTTTGTAATTTGAAGTGGTTTCCGCGGCTAAAAAAATGTTTTAAAGGTATTTTCTTGTTTATTAAGATGGTAGGAATGTTTTAAAAACGTTTAAAAGAAAAGTTTAGAAAGTTTAGAAATACCGAAACTATAAACACGAAATGACAGGTTAAATCGTAGTTATAATAGTCAATCAGCTGCTCATAGAATTATTATCTTTAAGTGTTGCCAACCTATTTCCAAGCGTACACGGATTACGTGCATAATAAAACCACGCTGTTTTGTGTTGTTTGGTTGGAATCCTGATGTGCGGCAAAGTATAAACCGTACGGCAAAGTATAAACCGTACGGCAAAGTATAAATATGCAGCAATTAGCAGCTTTCTGTACTATAAACAGTACAGGGAAGCCAACTTTGTCGGGTGACTGTAGGAAAAAGGTTTTACACGCTGGTTGTACCAAAATAATAGGTTATCGGTCCTATATGTGCAGGTTTTATTTGTATTTTGGGATTATTTATATCAATTGGGTCAAAAATGAAAAAGTAAATTGGTCCCGGGTCCAGGCCAGGTCTTACCATGAGTACTACCATACTTTTTTTATCCTAGGACGCTAGGCACGAGCCTGGGATTGTTTTTCACATTACTTCAGGCTAGACCTAGGGGTTGCGGCATTATCACTTAGATAAAATCCATTGGTGACTTGGCGGGGATCGAACCCGGGACCTCAGGGACTGAAGTCCCGCGCTCTAACCACTACGCCAGCTCGCTCCCCAGTACTAAAGGTAATAGTTTATAGTTTATAGCCCGCTAAATGGCTCTCATATCATAGATTAAATATATTCACTTGCACTTACTAAACTATACATACACATATAAGTTGTTATTCTGTGATCTCTATGATTTCAGGTTGAGGCAGTTATAGTTCTCTTTTCATCTTAACATATTTTTCTTTGATCATCTTGTTGAGAAATTTAATATGTCATGGCGGTGATTCAGGTTGAGTAGGTGACAAAGAATGGGGAAGATGAAGTTGGATTTTTATATTCTTAATGAGTGTTAGTGTTCATTGTATCTAACCCGAATGTGTTTAATGCATTATTGGTGTTGTATTTTCATCAGGAGTTTTCTTGAAGGTTTGCATTGAACTATTTAATTTGATTAGTTGGTACACCCTCCTGTCCATTTTATAACTAGAATGGCAAATAGAAATAAGTCTTAAACTAGGCCTAGTGTAGTGTTACACATCGAAGTTTTTTTGTGGATTCTGCTGTTGGTTTAGGCTGTTGCATTAATGTTCTAATATAATATGAACACATTTATTTCATAACATCGTATTTTAATCGCCAGAGGATGGATAGGTACACTTTTAGTCCCTTCATTGCTTTCCTTACTAGGCCTAGCCTAAGTTACAACTTGGAAGCTGTAAGTTTAAAAGAGGTTCCAATGTCCAATCAAAACTCCTAGTTCATTAACTTAAGCCCAATGTTAAAATTAATAATTTCAGGATGTTTATTTTTTTTATTTTGAGGGGCAGTTTATGATTAAGGTTGGATTTAGATATTTTTTGGGCCACAGTTTCTTAACCGGGCTAGGCCTACCTAAACTAACTTTAGTCGCTTTATTTGAGGAAACTTCCCTTTTTTCTATTCGCCAACTTTACATTGAAATATTAAGTTAATTCATATTCTCAAAAATTACAATAACATTTTCTATGAAATAGCACATTCACACAACACAAGGTATTCTTCAAGAGTTCACAAAGTTACATTACAAAAAAATTATTCTTTTTCTTCAACTAACTCCTATTATATTTCTCATATACTGTTTTGTAACATCTGCTCTTATTTTAATGATTTACCCATCTTTGATTCACCTTTTCTCAACTTATTTCAAATCAGGGTTAAAGAATTCCTTCTAAATCTAGGAACGGGCGAGGCCGAAGTTATCATCTCAGCTGATTACCGGCGTTATTTCACCTGACCCTTGTACTGTGGTGTCCCTCTTCACCAACCCCCCAGCCTTGTGCAAAGCTCCTCGTCGACACAACTGTATCAACACAATTTGCTCCCACAGAAATTATCTATCACTCATTTCATCCTCAACAAAAATTTAAAAAAATAGTTTTTTCTGTTTTTTATTCAATCTCCATTTGAATTCCCAATCAACAAATTTAGGTCATGAAAGACTACCTATATGCAACCCAGCAGACACACAGGCAGAGTTCGTCTATGTCTGCTGATTCCACAAGCTTGACCAATTAATTATAACTACTGTTACCTACAAAATAATAAGTTTATTATGTTCGTTTTGCTAGTTTTTGCATAGGCCTAATTCAACATTAAAAAATTCAAAATTCAAATTCAAATCCATTCAAAAATTCAAATTTAACGGAATAAATCATTCATTCATTCATCCATTTAATATTGATGGAAATTGATTAGGTAATCAATATTTTAAACTAATATTAATTTATTAAATGACACTGATATAGGTAACCTAACCAACCTAACATGCTGATTTAAGTTAATTAAAAAAAATTGAATAGCCTAATGAAGTTACTAATTGAATTGATAATTTCAATTTAAAGATACTTAGTGTAGTCCTAAGTTAGCCCAGTTAAAAAACTGTAAGATAGCCCTAGGTACCCCATTTTTAGCCTTTCAGAGATATTTAGATAGAAGTGATCAATACCAGACAAGGTATATAGGCTACTTTGAACAATGCCTGAATAGCCTAACTTAAAACCTATTCTTTGGTTAAGTCTCTATCAACCCTCCATGAGTGTCTTTTATTTTGAAACACGATCGGATCGGTACACAGAGATTTTTCAGATGTTGAAACATAAGCCAAACAATGCATCAATACAAATATGTGGCCTATATTAAAATCATGTAAGTTTACCACAAATAAAATATCTCTGACCAAAAAAGACAATGTTAAAGTCTGTCTAAAATAATTGTGCGGTTGGAATTCAACATATGATTTCCCTATCATGGTAAATCTCCCACTCATTTACCCTTTTCTACACTGAAATCCCCCGTGACAATCATCTGTTTTATATTACAGACAGGTTTTTTAGGAAGCATTTGTTTATTATGATTGAACTACACATATAATAAAACTAGAAGATTTATTTTAACAATAATAATCTACGTATCAATTTTAATTTCACTAGAAGCTTTGTTATAATGTAATATTAATCCTGGACTAGCATTTATGCTTTATGCTTTTGATGGATTGTTTTAAATACCGGGTGTCCGAAAAAAACTGAAACATTTTAAAGGCAAATACTGATACCAAATAAGAGACTATGTTTAATGTTTTATATGTATTTAAAGCTTAAATTCTTAAGTTTTATTAGAAACTTAGTAGGCTATAACTCGATATTAGCACCATCAGTTTCCCGGCAAAAGCCAAAAATCTAAGTGAAATTTGACCTTTTCTTAGGTTTTGGTCAGTACTTCAGGGGATACAAGCGTTGCCATTTAATGTGACATGTTAGATAAGTATTTTCCCCCCATAACTGGGTGACATTGAGATGGGGAATGGCCCCACCTATTTTCAACAGGATGGAGCGCCGCCACACTACAGTTTGAGTGTGCAAGAGGCGCTGGATACTATAGTTCGACGATTGGTGGTTTGGAAGGGAAGGAAGGGCCCACCCAATGGCCTCCTAGGAGTCCAAATATGACTTCTCTGGATTTTTTTCTTTTGGGGTCAGTAAAGAATAATGTCTACTGGGTGCAGATTCGGTATCTGAATCACTTCTAGTTGCTTGTGTTGGTGCAACATCCTCTGAAGTACTGACCAATACCAGGGAAGAGGTCAAATTTCACTTAGATTTATGATGGATTCATGCCGGGCCACTAATGGTGCTCATATCAAGTTATACTAAGTTTCTAATAAAACTTGAAAATTTAAGCATTAAATACATATATAAAACATTAAACATGGTCTCTTATTAGGTATCAGTATTCGCCTTTAAAATATTTCAGTTCTTTTCCGGACACCCGGTACAATTTCAGTTCTGGTAATGTAACTATACATGATTAAATTAGTTAATATCGTGGTGAACTGGTTTCAAATTTCTAAAGCGATACTTCACTTCTTATTTGGTTATTATTTTAATACCTTAGGTAATGGGAACTTTGTCAAGGTCTCTAGCAAAGCCCTAAGGTCAGATCAGGACGAAAACCATTGGGTTATCCTGTTTATGCCTGAATAATCTGTGTACAACATTGAACTCGCTAGGTAAATTACAAGTAGGAGCATTCGTGTTGAGTGAGTAAGTGAGCTAGTACTTTGCCTTTAATATGTATCTATAGGTCTGAGGTCATGATGATCAATGGAGTCATTTCATTAGACTTGTTTTGTTATACATTATATTATTTGCTATAATTTTCTTTTACTGAGGATAAACTAACATAACAAATTGATCATACTATTTGAATGAACGAGTTATGTTTGGAGGTGCACACAAATTAAACCATTTGTATGTAGCAGCTATATTACATTTTTTTGCTTTTTCCATTGCTTACTAATTGTATAAATATTTCAAATCCCTAAATAATAAAAGGCCAATATGCCTTAGTACACACCAAATAGAAAACAAAACTCGTAAAAATGTATAAATATAATTTTATTTAAACAACCACAAAATGAACACAATGATGTAAATTTAACAAATGTTAGTTGTAATGTGGATGTTAAAAAAGTACTGGAGACGTTCCATTACATCATTCACTCTCATAACTGGAAACCATCATCTTCGCTTAAGCCATCAGAGTCAGTGTCATCATGCAGATTTGTAATAAATGGTTCCATGATTTCGTCACGCAGTCCTTCTTTTAAAAAATCTTCTTCCTGGATATTTTCAGCATGAATTACACATTTCTTCCAGTCTTTTACTGTTACATGGTTCATGGCATTTTCTAGAAGGTTCCTGACATCCTTTATTTTGAAAGACGTGTTATTTTGCGCCACCTCCCCTTTCACTTGAGCCCAAATTAGCTCTATGGAATTGTATTGACAATGGTAGGGGGGTAGGCGAATAACCTCATGACCCATCTGCAACGCAAGCTCGTCCAGTTCGTACCGTGGAGGAAAATTGTGCCTGTGCTGCCGCACGGTGGTAAGGAGTTCTGCTACTGTGTGGACTGGATTGTGTTCAATACCATTATCTGATAGCCACCTCACAATGTCTGCCTTTCTAGATTTTGAACTTGGAATTTTGTTAAGTTGTTTCGAATGGTAGCTGGCATTATCCATTACAATAATACATGGCTCTTCTAGGCTTCTCAGTAAATCGAGAAACCATTCGTGGAAAACTATATGGTTCATTTCTTGATGATAATTGACATTACTTTTTGATTGAAATACGAGCTGTGCGTCTTTTATAAAACCATATTTAGCTGACCCAGCGTGACACACGACAAGCCTAGAACCCTTCCCTACTGGAACCCGAAACCCTCCCTTGCCATCTAAGCTTTCCCAAATACACTTTCTTGCATGGTTTTGGTTTACCCACGTCTCATCCAGGTATACAATTGGGAGAGGAGTTTCCTGCCGCCTTAAATCGTGCATCTTTCTTAGAAATACTACCCGGGAAGCGACAATATCAGACCGTTCTATTAAGAATTTTCGGCCGTTGTTAGTCTTTTTAAACTTAAATCCCACATCTCTAAGTATCTTACATACAGAATCTTTACTTCCACTAAATCCAATTTTTTCTTTTAGCACAGTCTTCAACTTCCTGCAGGTCGGGTACTGTCCTCTTTCGTAGAAATAAAAAACAGTTCTTCGGACTACGTCCTTGTCGAATTGGTCGAGATCAGTTATCCACTTTTTGTGGGATATTTTCCTTTGAGATGAAGAAAATGTTGCTTCTTTTGGTATATTTTCTATATTACAATCTTTGGAGTCCATATTATGTGCTGCAATGGATTTCTTTCCTTCTCCCGTTATGTTTTGCACTGTTCTAAGAGAAACAGATCAAGCTTCTGCTGTAGCCTTTTGGGTTTGATGGAACACTTCCCACACTGTCGCATTTGGTTTGCTGGTAACAAGCTTTTTTAAATAATTGTACACACTAAAAATTGTGTTTTTAGTTTGAATTGTAATGTCTTGGCACCTTTTGGCCATTTCTAATTAACACTAATCAAGTAAACACAGTTAAACTCACAAAATAAACTCAAGTCAAGTCAATTCAAACTGCACAAAATACCATCAGAATAATCACAATGTTGTTTACTACTAAAATGTAAACAAAGTGACAATTGTTGTAAAATTATAAACAGTATGAATCAGCTGTAGGCTAATATGTTGTGGTGGCAGGGGCCAGGGAGAAAGCAGGGAAAAACAAATGTGTCCTTCAACCGCACATTAAATTCAGACAGAGTATAGTACTTGACTTACTTTTTCATGTAGCCTATCGTTTCCAGATTTATCCAAAATGAACTTTATAAATATTAATAAACATAGGCCTAACCACCCAAGTTCTAATTTTAAAAAACAATATTCTTTGTATGAAGGGATTATTTCCAAGCTCTCTACCTTGATCCCAATAGCCTACTATAAGGTTGTCAAAATACAGAGTAAATTTATAACGTCTACACTACTAACTTTTACCGATTCCGAGGCTTTATATCATTCTTGCATCGCTTCCATGACGAACCAAAGATTAGCACAACATTTTTTTGTAAGTTATCGCTTGTTTGATTTTCATGCCCGTTCTATAATATTGAATTTTAAAATTTGTTACTAGTTGTTTCCAGTTAATAATATTAACTATACAGTATTTAAAAATCATTACAAAATTTTAATTACCTTTTAACTTATCAATACGAAAAAAGGAAGAACTTCTAAGCGCTTAACTTTTAATTAACCATAAATAAAAATCTTGAGCTCAATACTGTTTTAATAAATGTTTTAACAGAGTAGGCTTAGAATACTGACTGACAGACCAGTTAAAATGATCATCTTACTTTTATAATGTTAAATAAGAAACTCTTCACATATTATGTTTTTTTGTAAACACTCTTAACGTCTTTAGCCAGATGACCTTGGTTTCGTTGTTCTTTAACCATTATTTTTAGATCATCAAAAGCGCGGTACATCATGGCCTGTTTTTCTAGTGGGGCCTTGCCGTAGATGGTTTGTCATAACCAAATGTCATTAGTCTTTCTTTATTTACATTTACGTTGTTTTGTTAATTGGTAACTATCATAGCAACCCATAAGGCCAATGTTAAAAGTTTTAGATTAGTTTTAATTTGTACAGACTTTGACTTTGACTTTGACTCAAATTGAAATTTGTTTGTGTAAGTTCACTGTTTGTCAAAATAACCCTGGAAAGTTTGACTTTAATAAATTCAGCCGTTAAAAAGTTATCCGATTAGGGTACATCGTTTGCATAGGTTCCGATCTCAAAGTGCTTCGCTCAATAACAATAAAGTAAAATCATTATAAGTTTAAAGTAGTAACGACAAAATAAATAAACAAGACAATAAAACAGGGCCGTATTTGGAATCGACGAGGCCCCCAATATTCTGATTCTTCAAAGATTGCTTCAACTCGATAAATTTACCTTTAGTTTCCAACAATCCAATCGGCAAAAAACATAGGAGACGAGCTTAAAAAAATAAATAATTTTGTATATTGAAGCGCTGTTGTACCTACGCCTAACGGTCACGGGGAAAATAAAAACGTGTAACCCTAATTTAAAATTCCATGTTATTCTTATGGGGAAAATGAAAACGGTTGTAGTTTACTTGTTTATGAATATAGGTATGGTGATAAAATTTGGCAAATTTATTTATTTCATCCTATAGGCCTACTATTGACGTATGGTCATAAAACCCGTTTTACCTTCCCCGTAGCAGCAAACCTAAGCACTAGTTAAATCTAAAATGTTATTGAAATTGGGAATAAATATATCTTATTTATGGAAATATTTGAGTAAAAATGTAATCAGACAAGTTGAAATTTGCTTATTCTGCAGGTTTACTGCGGTGGGGGTATTTATTTATCATATCTACTCTTATATGAGCAATATCTGTTTATATGTAGGCTATGTACACTTTTTTTTTATTTTTCTCTATATCCAGTAGGCATATATCCGGTAATGCTTTAGGTTTGCTGCAGAGGGGGTACTGTATTTCATTTTCAAGTTTTAACATGTTTGTTGTAAACCAATTTAAATAGGCCTAAATTAAGTTACAGGGTGTGCCAAAATAACCTGAAGGTTTTTAATATTAAATGACTCAAGAAAAAAATAAACTTGTGTGTATTAAATAATATTAGACTACTAGCTGACCCGGCGAACTTTGTATCGCCTAAGTTATAGGTTTCCCCTAAGACAGATCGATGGAAAGAAAGTACCGTTATGTTTAATTTTCAAGATGATCTCGTTCGCATCGCTCAATCACGTCCTGGTTGAAGTTCGTTCGCTACGCTCACTCACCTTTGGGTTGGAGCTCGTTCGCTACGCTCACTCACCTTTAGGTTGGAGCTTGTTCGCTGCGCTCACTTGCCTTCAGGTTAGCTCGTTCGCTACGCTAACTCGCCTCCAGGTTAAAGTTCGTTCGCTACGCTCACTCACCTTTGGGTTGGTAATCCTTGTAACTTTAATGCTATTGAACATCATAGAACAGAACCAACTTGTTTAATTGAAACAGCTGTTAAGATTCATTAATTCCATTTCTCATAAGGTTAACATGGGAAACTCCAGAGCCACTGGGGCGGAGCCCTTTTAAGAATTTCGAAACGGGAAATAGTTTACGTCCGATTCGCATACCTACAGAATTTACACACCAAATTTCATAACGATCGGTGAAGTCGTTCCGGAGGAGTTTGCAGACAAACACTGTGACACGAGAATTTTATATATTAGATATTGTTCACAGTACTATGCCATTTTCATTTATGAAAAATTATATCACTTAGGTGATGATCTTCTCCGTTGACACAGGCTTCCCATCTTTTCTGCATGTTTAGAGTAAACTTCCGTATCGTCATTTGAGGAATAGTAGCAAACTCTTCCCGGATACACTGCTTGAGTTCAGGGATGGTTCAAGGATTCAAAACAAACACTGCTTTTTAATTAGCTAGCTCAACAGCCAACAGTCACACGAAGTGGGGATTGACAGTCTGTTATTAGACATAATAGACTATAGACAAATCCTTTATTGAAATATTTCTAGAGAACATCCATGTGTCGGGTATAATAAAAAACACATTATTATAACAGATCAAGCTGACCACGACACATCACCAAGCTCTGAGATCACTTTACCAGGAAAGAGTTAACGCAAAACTGTCATTGAATCATTGGCTGTGTGACAAGTTGCGCCGTCCTGTTGAAACTATGTGTTGACCATAAGCGGCTCCAGGTAGGCCCGGGCCTACTCAAAATGTTGGTAGATATTTCAAAATTATAAGTAAATAAAAAAAAATAGTTATATGTAAATAAAGAGAAACCATTCAAACTAATTATTTTGTAATTACATTTTTAAATTCCCCTTTTTGCTGGAAAAGCCCTTCCATCCTCTCTCGTCACCCGATCACACTCTTTCTTGATCCTTGCCAGGCCTACAAAAAAAATTATTCCTAGAGGTGCCCCTGGTATTGGTCATGTCTAGTCTATCCCTAAAATTCATAGTTGTGGAATCAAAAACCCCCTCAGCATTAGTACATAGCGTTCCGAGTTTACATTGACCCTATTCTCCCTTTCGTCCTCAAAAAATATGGTCTGATGACTCCAAACCATGCCACACCACACCAAAAAGTAACTTTCTTTGGATGAAGTGATGTCTCATGAATTTTCCTTAGGATTTTCAGCAGACCAGTATCTGGAGTTTTGTCTGATATTGTTTTTTTTTATTATTTTTTTTTTTTAATGAGCTTCATCAGACATTTAATCAAAACATTTAAGAGGTTATTTTCAGTAGCCAGCTGCAACAGTCTCTGGCATGTCAGAACACGTGATTCAAAGTCTCTTCCATTCAATTTCTGTACGATGACAATCTCGTATTGGTGGAAGTTGAGATCTATAATTTTACGTGAATAAGAGTTTGAAATCGCCAAGATCATAGATTGTCTACGAGCAGAAAAATTTGGACTTTGCCTTACACTCTGTCGAACAGTTTAGATGTTTGCCGGTGTACAAAATGAACAAGGTCGGTCACTTGGCCTGATCTTCATTGCAGAAACTGTGTCATTCTAAAGTTAGAAACCCACTTCAAAATAGTGTTTCGAGAAGGAATAGGCCTAGCTCCATGGCGACCTACCTGAAAATGAACGTGAAACAATCGTTGACTTAAAGTTGCAGACTAGTTGTGTAAAAAAATGTTTCAATAACAAAAGAACAATGTTGCGCCAACCACTGTTTATCCTTGTAAGTTTGTTTAACCAAACATAACCTAAAAACTGCATAACATAAGCAATCGTTCACTACAACAATGAGGTCTCTAGCTAGTATAAGAGCTGACTTATTAAGAAACAGAACCCGTTAGGTTTTTTTTGCGCACCCTTTATAAACTGGCTGTGGGTCCGGCTGCACATCCTGTTATAAAGCTGTGCCAAGTAAAAAATGATTCTATTTTGTATTTTAGTTAGGCTTTAGCTTGAATCTTTTCACTTAAATTACCTCCCTAAAGCTATTAATAGAGATTTGATTCTGTTTGCTGACGATACTACTGCAATCATTAAAGAAAATAGTAGAGAAGAGCTTCTAACATCTCTCACAGAAGTTATGAAAGAAATGGAAAATTGGTTTAAAATAAATGGCCTTAAACTAAATGTGGATAAAACCCAAATTATAAAACTTTCAGCCAGAAATGAAAGAGAATTAAATAGTTTTTCCAATTTAGTCCATTCAAATAAATTCCTAGGCAATTTAAAAAAAATTCAAATAAAATCTAGATGAAAATATTAACTGGAAGGTGCATCTAGATGTTATAAAGAAAAAAATTAGATCTGCATCATCTGTCTTTGTCCACTTGAGAGAATGTGTCACCATTGAATATGTAGAATCCATCTTGAGGTATGGTGTGATTTTGTGGGGACAGGCAACTGATGCAAAAACTATTTTCAGACTTCAGAAAAGAATCATCCGAATTATGACTAATTCCCACCCCAGAAGTCCTTGTAAATTACATTTTCAAAATTTAAAAATCCAAACACTCACAGGACTATACGTATTTGAATTATTAAACTACATACACAATATAAAAAATAACCTCCCGGATTCATTCAAATTCACACACAACTATAGTACAAGAAACGAAACAATTTTCAGATTACCAAATCACCGTTTGACCTTATTTGAAAAAAGTCCTTTGTATGCAGGTTTAAAAATGTATAATTTTCAATCGATTGATAGTTATAAGGTCCACTACCCCTAAGAAAATGATTGTTAAATTAATTTGTCATACATCATAGATTTATTATTTTCCAATTGAGGATTTGTTATCTCACACTTTTTTGTTTTCAGGATTAGCATATCTGTGATCTAAAATTTAAAACAAAACAAAATGTCGGACGACGAAGACAAGCCACCAGCACCGCCTGTCCGCTTAACCAGCAATAGGTGAGTTAAATATGTACCTAGCCTAATTTTAGCTTTTTAATATTGTTGTGTGATGGGTGGATTTGAAATTCCCTAATCTGTAGTTAGATTTTTTCAAAAGCAAACCTTGCATTTACGGCTTTTGAATTTGTTAGGTTTTTTTAAGCTTTTCTTGTGGTTTTTACTTTAGTCCGATCACAAATTTTAGGTGGTTCAGGTGTCCACCAACCTGGAAAACCGGGAATTATGTGTGAATTTTGTATTTCTACTGGAAATTTTCAATTTACCACGATTTTGCATGACGATTCAAATTATTGGAAAGTGCCAATAATTACATACAAAAGGACCCAATTTGACTATTAAATTTTCCCCTTAAACAAAAATACAGAAAGCAGAAGCACCATTTATTTATTCACACCAAATTAAACATGCTTTCTCATTCTACCTCAACTGGTTGATTTCTGTTTTGCCTATGTCTGCTGCTATGTTTCCGGCTTGTTTGTAGAGTTTTGAGTTTGTTCTCAGCTACAGTGGAAAACGTTGTATTGAATATAAACGCTTTGTTCAGCTTGGGGTCTTGTTACTTGTAGGCTAATCTACTAGTGTTACAATGATAAAACCACGGATGGGTACATAATATGTCAGAAATTCATTTGAGACTTGAAAATTCCATTTATTGTATAGAGTTTATTCTGGAGATATTTTTCAGTAACTCTATCAATATTTCCAATGATTATAGTTTTTTTCTTCTTCATTATTCAGTGTAATATTCCTTTGGAAACTTGGAATCAGTTGTTATAGGCATAACATCAGTTATAGAGTTTATAATCAACAGTGTGTTGGCTACCTAGTCAGTCATGATTTTGTTTTAGCGAATTTCCCATATAGGGAATAAGCTATTACCGTAGTACTCATGGTAAGACCTGGACCCGGGACCGATTTAATTCTTAATTTTGAGGTCCCTCGAGGCCAAAAACACCATCCATATATATATATATATATATATGTGTGTGTCCGTTAGCGCGATAACTCGAGCAAAAATGATCCGATTTTGATGAAATTTGGTACAAACCTGTAAACCTACGTTTATTCGAACGAGTTCGCGATCCAGCATAATCGGACCATGGGAACAGGGGTTTATGGGGTAAAAATTGGGTTTTCCCATTTTTGACCCTAAAAACAAAAAATGTTGCAATTTATTTTTAAACCGTTTTGTAGAGCTTAAAAAAATAAATAATTTAGTATATTGAAACGCTGTTGTATGCCTAACGGTCATGGAGAAAATTTAAAAATAGTGTAATTTAAAATTCCCATGTTATTCTTATGGAGAAGATGAAAATTGTTGTACTTTACTTGTTTATGGATATAAAAAAATATTGATAAAATTTGGCAAATTTATGTATTTCATCATATACCATTCAAAAAACACTTTTTACCTTCCCCGTAGCAGCAAACCTATGCACTTGTTAAAACCAATGTTATTTAAATAGGGAATAAATATGACTTATATTTATGGAAATATTTTAGTAAAAATTTAATCATACAAGTTGAAATCCGCTTAGTCTGCAGGATTGCTGCGGCGGGGGTATTTTAACAATTTATCGTAATCTGGTTTACCACTGATACAAATTGCAATTTTTTCAGTCCTAAATTTAAAAAAATGAACTATTAAAGTAAATTAAAATGTTTCCATATTTGCATGGGAAGGAAAACTTTTGGTTTTTAGGGTACTAACAAATTAATCGAAGATTATTAACTTTGAGAAAGTTAGGGCCGGTTTCGGAGCTCGGGACTAACGCTATTCCTGGACTAAAATCCAGTTCAAACCAGTTTTTATTCTAGGACTAAAAATCGGGTTTCGGAGCTCCAGGATTACGCTAGTCAACGACTAAGTCTATTCCGAGAGTTACATAGTCCCTGAATTACTCTCATGGGTTTCGGAGTCACGGGCTACTTAATCCTCGAATTAAATGTTATTCGATCGGGTTTCGGAGCCAAATATATAATCCACAACTGGGCAACAAAGACTAACTCGAGGAATAAATATGAGCAATTTTTAGTCCAGGTGGAGGGCAGGATTAAGGGGCGGACTAACTTAACTTTTGGCGTAAGTACTCAATTTGTGAAGGTATCTATATAAATGTCAAATTCTTAATCGGCATAAAATTTACTAGCAATTTCATTCCTCTTGATATTTTTCCTTAAAATTTTATTTTTCTCTTAAGTATATGCAAAATCATCTTTGAATGAAACCCGTTTATCTACAATTTATGCTCAAGACTATAATAGGCCAAACGGTCCCTAAAATTAATATTATAAGGTACTAAACTTAGATTTTAAAATAATAATATAACGAAGACAGAAAGAAAAACTTAACTGTATGAAAAAAATAATATAGGGCCTATCAAATCTAAATACGTATTTAATACGCGGTACATAATGTTACATAGGGTTACATGCATTTAAATGGTCCATTTTAACGAGTTTTTGGGGACGTTGGTTTAACCGGAAACCCCGTTATTCGGACTGGCCTCGGCACTGAGGAGTCCGGATAGTCTACTGTAATGCAGTATTTTACTAATGAATACTTTTAACCAAAATTAACAGTATGCCTAACGAAAAAAGACTTCTGTATTAGTATTATTTTCAATTGAAACTCATATCTAGTATAATAATTTGGAATTTGGTTAAATAACAAATATTTCAGCCGTGAGCTAACTCGGATAACCTGGAGTCTCAGATAACCGGAGCTCAGATGATTGGAAGTTAACTGAAGTTGCTTGGACACCTACTTAATCTCTACTACATATTGTACTTCCAGATGAATTGTTAAAATACAAAACAATCAGAGAACACAAATACATTCTAAGCAGATAAATTATAACTATGCCTACTCTTAGAGCGTTAAAACAACAAATTGTTGTAATAATGATAATTTTTTACGGTTGATTTGCATTCAAAGAATAATAAAATATTTCCCTTTATTTTAGCGAATTTCCCATATAGGGAATAAGCTATTACCGTAGTACTCATGGTAAGACCTGGACGCGGGACCGATTTTTTTTTTCGTTTTGAGGTCCCTAGAGGCCAAAAACACCATCCGTTCAAATTCATATATATATATATATATATTTATATATTTATATATATATATATATATATATGTGTGTCCGTCAGCACGATAACTCGAGCAAAAATGATCCGATTTTGATGAAATTTGGTACAAACGTGTAAACGTACGTTTATTCGAACAAGTTCGCGATCCAGCATGATCGGACCATGGGAACGGGGGTTTACGGGGGGTTTTATGGGGTAAAAATAGGTTTTTTCCCATTTTTTACCCAAAAAACATAAAATTTAGCAATTTCTTTCCAAACCATTTTGTAGAGCTTAAAAAAACAAATAATTTAGTATATTGAAGCGTTATTATGCGCCTAATGGTTACGGAGAAAATTCCAAAAAATTGTAAATTTAAAATTCCCATGTTATTCTTATGGAGAATAAGTAAACTGTTGTAGTTTGCTTGTTTACGAACATATTTTGATCAAATTTGGAAAATGTTTTTATTTCTTACTAACTATTCACATTTTACAAAAAAAAAACAGTTTTACTCTCCCTGATGCAGCAAACCTAAGTACTTGTTAAACTAATTCTATTTAAATCAAGAATAAATGTTATATTTTTAAGTAGACATTTCAGTGTAAATCCAATCAGTCAAATGGAAATTCGCTTAGTCTGCAGGTTTGCTGCGGCGGGGGTATTTTTATCATCATACAGTATTCATTTCAAAATAATTGTAAGACCTTAAATAGACAATTATTGGGGTTTGCATTAGGATTACAAAAGTCGCAACCAATCTCTAATATCTCAAATGCCTACAGTTTTTAGATTATCATAAAAAAATAACTTGGACAAAGTAAAGGCATAGGCTAACACATTTGACACCTTATTCTTCAATCGGGAAGTTTTTTTTATCAAACTTAACAGCAATAAATAAACCTTCAGGTTTTTTTTGTAAATAATGGTTCACATAACTGGGTTTTTTATTTCGGCATACGTTTTTGAACACGATATCTTCTTTTAGTTACCATCTTCAGTGAGACTCAAGGAATCATTATCCCAACTGATAAGTGATTAGAACCAGACTAGAGAGTAGACACTAATGTAGCTATGAGCGCTGACCGTGAACAACTTTGGCAGGTATCGTCTTAAATTCGTCTGTCCGCTGCCCCTACCACCACTCAAAAACTAAAATTCCCCGTGATTCCTACCTTAGTCCTAGAATAAGTAGTCCAGAAGTTGGCGAATAATGTTAGTCGTCGAATAGACTAGTCTGCGGACTAGGGAGTTAGTTCGCGAGCTCTGAAACCCGATTTTTTATTTGATGACTAACTTTATTCACTGATTAAGTAACTCCAGGATTACGTATTCCCGAGCTCGGAAACCCGCCCTTAGAGGTTGGAGCTTAAAACTATTGAGATTTTAAAACGATGTAGAACCATCTTACACATTTTTGAATTTAGCTCAATTACATACATTTTACGCGAAGTGCATTTTTTGCAAATACTGTGGTTGTTATTTTATTTTAATTAACATAATGGTTATTTGTAGGCCTACAAATGTTACTTTAATTTCTTATATTTCAACTATATTTGTCCATCGTTGACATTCAATCACACTTCAGTTTGTAAAATATTTTTTAAAACTTTCAACTATTTATCAATTATTCCCCACAGTAGTTCTGGAGTTTTATTTCCTATTTCCTGTGTTGGAACCATGTTGGGCATCTACTTAAGACAGGAAGGCAGAGATAGAACGACACAAGTTATGGCTACAAATATGAAATAATCTGAGTCATGTCATTTCTGGGCTCTTAAGTGACAATTCAAAGTCCAATACTGGCTTGCTTGTCTAGTACACACTGTTATCTGAATAGTAGGAAGTTTGTATTCATAGTTGCATTTGGTTGTCTGTGTCCTTGTGGTCTACTGTGTCCACACAGTCCGTAAGTAACATGGGCT